GATGATGAAGGTGCTGATGATGATGATGATGATGACGCTGCTTACTGCTGCTCCTCCTCCTCCCGTCCATGTCATCATTCTCATCATAAGCACCACCACCATCTCTTCACCATCATCGTCGGCATCGCCTCCTCCTCCTCTCTATCTCCTCTCCCCAGCTGATAATCTTGTCGCTCTCTGCTTCTACCCCCCCCCTCCTCCCTTCTCGCCTCACCCCCCTCCTCCCCCCCCCACCCCTTGCCCTTCGTGACCCCTGTTCCTCTGAAGGTGGGGGGGTCACGACCTCCAAATAATTCTGCGCCTCGTCATTTCGCAATTTTCGCGGAGGGCGTCAGCAGGAGGTTCCCACAGTTGTGGCGGGCGGGCGGGGGAGGGAAAAGGGGACATCCAGGAAAGATCGAATCCCGTGGGAAATCTCCGCACTGATTAATGCGGTGGCGCGGTGCACGGAGGGAGGGGGGGGGGGAAGCGTCGCGTATTTGAGACGACAACGTATGCGCGCTCCCGTTGAGCAATAACGGCGGAATGGTGGCCCACGTCTCGTTCACAGGAGCTGGTAGGAGGTGGTGGGGAGGGTGGGGGAGGACGATGATTGCCAACGTCCACTGCGAAGCAGATGGCGCGTCGTAATTAACGGTTAAGACGCTCGCAGTATTAACCAGGGCCGCCTGCCGGGTACGCACTGCGATCTTCCGCAACAACAAAAAAAGCTATCGAACGCGCCACTGCTGGGACGTGTCGACCCCCCGGGTGTACGCGGATACGTGTTTGTTTACGTGTGCGTGTGTGTGTTCATGTGTGGTGTGTGTGTGTTTGTTTATGTGTGCATGTGTGTGTTCATGTGTGGAGTGTGTGTATGTGTGCGTGTGTGTTTATTTGTGGTGTGTGTGTTTGTTTATGTGTGTGTGCGTGTTCATTTGTGTGTGTTTGTGTATGTGTGCGTGTCTATGTTCATGTGTGGTGTGTGTGTTTGTATCTGTGTGCGTGTTCATTTGTGGTGTGTGTGTATGTGTGCGTGTGTGTGTTCATGTGTGGTGTGTGTGTTTGTGTCTGTAGCCGCGCGGTAGTGCAGCGGCCAGCAGCAGTGACGATTATCTCAATAAGTCTTGGGCCTCCCCTGGGTCGACTCAGCCTCAAATTAGTACCCAGTGCAGTTTGCAAACGTCGTCACTAAGGAGACAAAGGCGGCCGGGGTGATGCCGGCCACCCACTTCTTCGTGTGCCGTGCCGCCCATCATAGGTGCTCGCAAACAGCACTTGCCCCAGCAGTTTGTTAAGGCTGTGTGTATGTGTGTGTATGTGTTGACTTGGCACAGTGGGGAGCATAGCTTGTGCATCTGCCAGTCATCTCAGTCAATCAACCCATGACACCTGGGTCTGTCCCGTTACGCCCTTGACGTGGCCTCAAAGTGCACCTAGCCTGGCACAACCGCAGTGATGACCTCAGCGCCACTCATTGGCGAATGGCGCTTGCTGTCTGTTCGTTTGTTTCTGTGTGCCCGTGTGTATGAGTGTGCACGTGAGTGTGTGAATTGTGTTTGTGTGTGCTGTGGACGCGAGCGCGTGTCTGTGTGTGCGTTCTGTGAGCACGTGTACGTGTGGGTTGCCACCTTCGAGGTGCACAAAACCGGGACGTGTCGTGATAAGACAACAAATATATATATATTTCACAACAGCGGAAGAGGGGATAACTGCATGTGAAGGGATTGTGTTGATGACGCAACATACAATAAGGAGGACCCTTTTCATGTCCCGGGAAAACTTAAGAGATTCCCCAGGACAAGCGGCCAATCGACAGGGTGACCTCCTCGGAAAACCAGGACGGGTGTCAACGGACGTGCGTCCGTGCGCGTTGTGCTGCGTGTGTGTGTGTGCATGTGTGTGTGTGCGTCCGTGCACGTTGTGCTGCGTGTGTGTGTGCATATGTGTGTGCGTGCGTGTGTGTGTGTGCGTGTGTGTGTGCGCGTGTGTGTGCGTGTGCGTGTGTGCGTGTGTGTGTGCGCGCGTGTGCGTGTGTGTGTATGTGCGCGTGTGCGTGTGTGTGTGCGTGTGTTCGTGTGTGTGCGCGTGTGTGTGCGTGTGTGTGTGCGTGCGTGTGTGCGTGTGTGTGTGCGTGTGTGTGTGTGCGTGTTCGTGTGTGCGTGTGTGTGTGTGTGCGTGTGTTCGTGTGTGTGTGTGCGTGCGTGTATGCGTGTGTGTGTGTGCGTGTGTGCGTGTGTGTGCTGTGTGTGTGCGTGTGTGTGCGTGTGTGTGTGTGTGCGTGTGTGTGTGCGTGTGTGTGTGTGTGCGTGTGTGCGTGTGTGTGTGTGCGTGTGTGTGTGCGTGTGTGCGTGTGTGCGTGTGTGTGTGTGCGTGTGTGTGTGTGTGTGTGCGTGTGTGTGTGCGTGTGTGTGTGTGTGCGTGTGTGTGTGTGCGTGTGTGTGTGCGCGTGTGTGTGTGCGTGTGTGTGTGTGCGTGTGTGTGTGTGCGTGTGTGTGTGTGCGGGTGTGTGTGTGCGTGTGTGTGTGTGCGTGTGTTCGTGTGTGTGCGCGTGTGTGTGTGCGTGTGGGTGTGTGCGCGTTGTGCTGCGTGTGTGTGTGCGTGTGTGCATGTGTGCGTGTGTGTGTGCGTGTGTGCATGTGTGCGTGTGTGTGTGCGCGTGTGTGTGTGCGTGTGTATGCGTGTGTGTGTGCGTGTGCACGTGTGTGTGTGTGCGTGTGTGTGCGTTGTGCTGCGTGTGTGTGCGTGTGTGTGTGCGTGTGTGCGCGTCTGTGTGCGCGTGTGTGTGCGCGTGTGTGCGCGCGTGTGTGTGTACGCGTTGTTCTGCGTGTGTGTGCGTGTGTGCGCGTGTGTGCGTGTGTGTGTGCGTGTGTGCGTGTGTGTGTACGTGTGTGTGCGTGTATGTGCGTGTGTGTGTGCGTGTGTGTGTGCGCGTTGTGCTGCGTGTGTGTGCATATGTTCGTATGTTTGCGTGTGTGTGTGTGATGCGCGTGTGTGTGTGTGATGCGCGTGTGTGCGTGTGGGGAGCGGTAGTGTAGTGGTTAGCGTGCTGCACTACGAACCTGGCGACCCGGGTTCGATTCCCGCTCACGGCAAACACCAGTAACGATTATCTGAACCGGTCCTGGGCCTCCCCGAGGTCGACTCAGCCTCAAATGAGTACCTGGTGCGGTGTGTAAACATCGCCGCTAGGGAGACAAAGGCGGTCTGGCGTGGTGCTGGCCACCCACCCCCTCGTGTGCCGTTGCGGCCTTCATCGGTGCTCGCTAACAGCACTTGCCCCTCCAGTCTGTTAAGGCTATACGGGGATCTTTGTCTTTGTCTTTGTTTGTGATGCGTGTGTGCGTGTGACTGGTTCGAGACTGTGTGGGCGGCATGCGGCGCGATGCTGATGTTCTAATGCATAACGATGTAATGCGACTCGATGAAGAGCATATACAGTTGTTGTTGTTACTGGAGATATCTATTGCATTGGAAATCGGTTGTGACGGCAAATATTCGCAGCTACTAGTGGCCGCAACATCACCAACAAGAAACGGATGGTTTTTATTTCATTAATGTATCCATGAAAGCGTCACAGAGCCCCAGTGGGCTGTCTGGCACATTCATGCGAAATGCGAGGCAATGCATTGTTTACTTGTCACAGCGACTTACGTAATCGCGTGGTTATTTGTTATTCTCCACGTGACCAATCAATGGCAATGTACCATGCATCTATTCTTCAACATCGAATATTCATGTCGCTTTGGATGCATGGAATCACGCGCGTAAGACGCTATGTGTTTTTTTTTAATTGATCATTCGTATACGTTGCACGTTATGGACTCACACAAATGTCAGCAAGTAATCGCTTAATGCATTTAATCGCGGCAATACATTGAATCGCCGGATCATTCAACCTTTGCTAAAGTGACAGCAAAATAAATGTTTTAATAAATAAATACAGATTGCTTCGTACATTTGTCATAGTTCTGTGCCTGATCTTGTTATCCAAGTTTTCCCGTGAAAAGCAGTTCATTAGGGTCAACGGGCTCCCAAGTGATTCGGCAATGGATGGTCTGTCTGCGTGCGTGTCAACATATTAGCCGGTCGAGAAACAAACAGCGAGAGAGGTGAGAGGACAAGAGCGGAGGGAGGTGAGCGATAGGATACCGAGATGAGAGAGAGAGGGGGGGGGGAGTTCGAGAAATCAGAGAGATAAGTGAGAGAGATCGCAGAGAGAGAAAGAGAGAGGTGTGAGAAGGAGATGGGAGATATGGGGAGCGATATAAAGAGTATGGAGATATAGAAGAGCGAGCCGAGAGACGAGAGAGAGGAAAGAAGAGCTACCGTACAGGAGACGGGAGGCATAGGAGAAAGTGGACAGATAAGGGAGAGAAATAGCAGAGAGAGGATTGAAATTGGAACGAGGGGAGAGAGAGAGTGGAAGAAAGGAGTGAGAGGAGAGACGAAAGAGGGGAAGAGGAAAGAGACGCGAGAGAGTGAGCGAGAGGTGGGGGTTTACATAAAGCAAAGTTTAAATTAAGAAAACATTACGAAATGATGAACGAAGCAAAGTGCCGACTACACCGAGCATCTTCTTGTTTCCACTGATCGTAAAAAAAGAGAGAGAGGAGCGCCAGAGGAGAGCGAGGGAGAGAGAGAGAGATACGGACCAAGAAAGTGGACTGGGTGGTGTTGAGTGTGGGTGTGAGGAGGCGGGGTTCTGTGGGAGGAGGAGAAGGAGGAGGAGGACGGGGGGGTGAGGGGGGGTCGCGCGCCTGCAGAGACACAAACTTGGAGCTCGCCTCGCGCGGTGTCGCGCGCGCGCCCGGCTCGGCTGCCGCACGAGCGGCGCGCGGAGGCACGCACGCGCGCGCGCGCCCGCTCGCCCTCCCGACAAGCAAGTGGACACACAGGGGACGGACACGCGCGGAACCAGAAGAACCCATCGCGAGCGAAGGGTGTGAAGTTGAGTTGCTTTAAGCGTTACAAAATTCACTAACCGTAGACCGTTGAATCCCCCGTAACCCCCCCCCCCCCACCCCCTCCCCTTCAATGTGTCACCTGAACGGTGGGAAGGTGTAGGAGGACGCGCCTCGGTCGGGTGGGTGCCGAATGCGTCCGCACGGGATGCTCAATGTGGTCACACGCGCGTGCGTAATTGCACGCGAACGGAGAATGCCGAGCGTCGCGGGACAGAGTTAGGGCTCTCCATCTCACCTCGCAGCAAGCTCTCCGCAGTTGCATCTCAACGACATCTGCGCACGGGCGCGAGCGAGCAGAGATCATCGCGGGAACTAATGCTGCTACTACTGCTGCTGCTGTTGCTGCTGCTCCACACTCGCGCCACCATGGCGGATGGCACCCTCGCCACCGCCGCCAGCAGCAGCAGCATCGCATCGAGTGCTTCCGCCAACGTCTCACAGTGGGAACCGAGCGCAAGTCCAGCAACCACCGCCACCACCTTCACCACCACCTTCACCACCACCACCACCGCCGCAGCCGCCACCTTCGCCTCCACCATCGCCAGCACCGCGGCCTCACCGCACTCCTCCCTCCTGGCCGTGCTCACCCTCACCCTCCTCGCGGCGCTCACCTTGGCCACGCTGGCGTGGAACGCGCTCGTGCTCGCAGCCATCCTGCGCGTTCGCAGCTTCCACCGCGCGCCGCACACCCTGGTGGCCTCGCTCGCCGTCTCCGACCTCCTGGTCGCGGCCCTCGTCATGCCCCTGGGCTTCGTGCGGGAGCTGCACGGCCGCAGGTGGCGCCTCGGGCGCACGCTGTGCCACGTGTGGACCTCGTGCGACGTGCTGTGCTGCACGGCGAGCATCTGGAACGTGACGGCCATCGCGCTCGACCGCTACTGGTCCATGGCGAGCCACCTGGAGTACACCCTGCGCTCGCGGAGGCGTTTGTGCGCGGCGATGGTCGCGCTCGCCTGGTTCATGTCGGCGCTCATCGCCGTGGCGCCGCTCGCCTCTGGGCGGGAGCAGGACGGCCGCGGGTACTCGGAGGAGACGCTGAGATGTCAGGTGAGGGTTTCATCGACACCCGGACGAGGGTGGCGGTGGTGCGCTCTGCGTGTCTTGCTTAATAGAGGTGGATGGGCGTGGGGGGGGGGGGGTAATCACCGCGTGGTGACGGCGGTGGTGTGGGTGCGTGGGGGAGAGTTGCGGTGGTGTGACAAAAGAGCTTCATGGCTCATCGGATCCCTCCAGGATAAATGCATACTGCTGATTGCGCGTGACGCGGTGGGAGTGTGCGTGTAACCGACAGCTCGGGTGAGTGCGGGAACTCATGTTGAGTTGTCGGTGCCGAGTAGAATGCGCAGCTCAGAAGAGTGCGCTGTCATTTGGATGCACACGGCGGCGGTGTCTGAATGATGCCGTCGCTTGCGCACGACGCTGTTGCGAATCAGCGCACGCGCATTTATTGCACAGAGAGTGACGGACGCAGGCGGTCCTCACGGGCAGAGAGGAAAGAAAATAGTATTTGAGCCTGGACTTTAAGAGGGGGCAGGGGGTTGGTAGCACGAAGGACTGGGGGCGGGGGGGGGCATGCCATGCATTGGGGGCAGCAGAGGAGAATTAGACGATTGAGCGACCTCACGGGTCCACCGAGAGAGTGACTCACGTGGCCGAATTGGTGCTGCCGGTGAGTCGGTTCTCCTGGGGCGTGTGCGCCTTTATTCAGGTTGCCCTGCGAGTGAGTAGCGCTTCGTGATGAGTCGGGTTTTTCCCGTCGCATCGTACACTCGTTTACCGCCAGGGTGAGCAGGTCCTGCGAATGAGTGGATCCTCCTGGGGAAGGATAAGCTCACGTTGCGCCGGTGCCCCTGTGGATAGGTGAGCGGTTCCTCCCGTCGAATAGCTCGTCCGGACGAGTAGGTTCCCCTGGGGAGAAATGAACCTGCAGGTGAAGGGTTCCTCCTCCGAACGAGTGGACAGCAGCTGCTCACTGCAGGGACGTGGTGCTGGCCACCCACCCCCTGATGTGCCGTGCCGCCCTTCGTAAGTCCAACTCGCAAACAGCATTCGCCCCAACAGTCTGTTCAAGGCTACACGGGGGATCTTTATCCTCGTAATGCGTAGCCGCCGCCGCTGACGCCACCTCCTCCGCTCAACCACCCGCCCAGGTGATGAGGCCCCCACCCCGTGCTGTCTCACCAGGTGAGCCAGGACCCGCCCCTCGCCGTGTGCTCCACCGTGGGCGCCTTCTACCTGCCGCTCGGCGTGGTGCTCTTCGTCTACTGGAAGATCTACCGCGCGGCCAGGCTACGCTTCGGCAGGCGATGCCGACAGAACGCGGTCACCCCCATCTGCAACCCCGTGCAGGTGATCGACCCACCTCCACCCACACCCACCACCCACCCCCCACCACCACCCACCACCACCCACCCCCCACCATCACCCACCCCCCACCACCACCGCACCCCCCGCCACTACCCACCCCGACCACCACCACCCACCCCCCCCCCACCACCACCGCCCCCCCCGCCACCACCCACCACCACCCACCCCCCCCACCACCACCGCCCCCCCCGCCACCACCCACCACCCCCACACCACCACCGCCCCCCCCCGCCACCAGCACCCGCCACCACTCACCCCCCACCACCACCCACCCCCCACCACCACCCCCCCCACACCACCACCGCCCCCCCCCGCCACCGCCCGCTGGCGTTCATCCGTCAAGGCGTCGTGCTGCAGGCGGTAGGGGTTTCCAGATCGCCCGAGCTCAAGTCGATGTCGTCGAACTGAGCTGCGAGAGACCAGGATGACGGCGTCGTTTGCAAGAGAGTTTTTGTTGTTGTTGTTGTTGCGAGCCACTTTGATCTGAGCCGGAACAGTCCGGGAACGATGTCCCTGCCGATCGTTCTAGTCACGCCACATCCATCGCCCCCCTTGTTTGGTAGAGTTCATGCTGTCTATATGTTTTATGGACCCGTTCATATGATTTTTATGAACAATACTAACGAGTCATTGTGAAGAGACGTAACTTTACACTCTAGTGGTAGTGCCTTACGCCAATAATCTTGACACCGAGCCAGACAAACACCGGAAGATACCGAGTGAGATACACGCCCTGGTTGTTACCGTCTGTTGCTCAGGGGAGTGTCCGATGTTTTCGCTGCACGTGCCGGGGAGCTTCTTGAGCTACTCGTTCAAAGGCGTGATGTTCGACGTTTTACTCTCCACGTGCTGGCAGCTTGTTCAGGACATGGCTAGCCCTCACATCAAGCTTGGCGCACCCAACTAAAAGAAAGACAGAAAAAAGCTGATTCGGATGGCCGCCAAATTGTTTCCACTGTAGAGTAATAGAATGTCACTCACAGTGGGAAACGCATCCCATTGCATATATATGCGGTTGTCGAGAATCTATCAATGTGGAGACGAGGGTTAGTGGATCGCACAAATGTTGTGAAACTCCCTTCCCGTGGGCATCGACGAGGTGCCGCTCGGCCAGGAGAAGGCAGTACAGCAAGTAGTCGCCCTTTGTTGCCATCCGCACGCGGGATAGAGCGTTGCTCCCTCGCGCGCGTGGCTTCTCTCCAGGCGCTCCGGTTTCGTCCCACGTGTATCAAGACTCATTTATAATTGGCCGCAAACATCTTAAATAAAATGTCCCAGAATCCTCCTGAAAACTATTTCCTGCGACTGAGTGTGGTTTTCCTGGAAGAATAGTATTAATTACAATAATTTATTAGAATCATATATATATACTACACAGTATACATCAATTAAATATAATGTACTTGCCTTTGGGCACATTTTCTTTTTAAAAAATGAGGGTGCGTCGGTGTGAAATTGCCCCCCATCCGCTGGCTTGGAGAAGCCTACGTCCGTCAGTGGATTGACCGTGGCTGCTGTTGATGATCTGCACTGAGCGACAGCGACCAGCGGGGTCGGCACCACGGCCGCAATTATAGAAGCGTTCCCCCAACAGCGGGGAGGAGGAGGAGGAAGACGAGGAGGCGAATTAACCGCTTCTCATTGAACTCAAAGTTCGATTCACTCCAGGACGAAGCTGTTCATACGGCGCGCCGAGACGTAAGCCCGGCCTGCCACCCCCCTCCCCAGAGCCCCCCCCCCCCCTCCCAGAGCCCCCCTCCTGCCCCCTTCCCAGAGCCCCCTCCCAAAGCCCCCCCTCCCAGAGCCCCCCTCCTGCCCCCTTCCCAGAGCCCCCTCCCAAAGCCCCCCCTCCCAGAGCCCCCCACCCCCCTCCCAGAGCCCCTTCTCTCTCAGAGCCTCCCCTCCTCCCAGAGCCCCCCCAGAGCCCCCCCCTCCCAAAGCACTCCCCTCTCACCCCCCCTCCCAGAGCCCCCCCCTCCCAGAGCCCCCCCCCCTCCCAGAGCCCTCCCACCACCCTCCCCTCCTCCCAGAGCCCCCCCAGAGCCCCCCCCCTAGGTTGACTCAGCGAAAAATGAGTACCCGGTGCGGTGTGTAAACATCGCCACTGGGAGACAAAAGCGGTTGGGCGTGGTGCTGGCCACCCACCCCCTCGTGTACCGTTCTGACCTTCATAGGTGCTCGCTAACAGCACTTGCCCCTACAGTCTGTTAAGGCTACACGGGGAATCTTTGTCTGTGTTAGTGTGGGGGGGGGCAGCGGTAGTGTTGCGGTTAGCGCGCTGCGGCCGATTCCCGCTCACGGTCACCAACAGTGACGATTAACTGAATGGATCCTGGGCCCTCCTCTAGGTCGACTCGGCCTTAAACGAGTATATGGAGCCGTGCGTTCAACATCGCCGCTCGCGAGACGAAGACGTCCTGGGCGCCAAGCGCCGTTCCTGCTGCCAGGGGCATTTGGGGGCGCCTGCCCCACCGAGCTGCCGGAGATGAGAAATTATTTTTAGAACAAAAAGATAATAATCTTTTCTAAAAATAGTTCTGTTGCGTTTCAACGCGAATTGGGCTCGTGAAGAGAACGTTTTAATCCTCTTAGTTTTTTCGGTAAAGTCACGTAGGTAAAAAATGAAATTAAAATTGATTAAAATATATTTTTTATTACTATTTAATTTTGATTAATTTAATTTAATTTTTTACCTACGTGACTTTACTGAAAAAACTAAGAGTATGAATCCTTGCAGTCACGAAAGCTTCAAATCTAGAAACAACGTTTTAAGTTGTTCGTATTAGAAACCACCGCTGCTGCAACACCACAGTCCGATGTGTGCCTCGTCTGTGAAGGTGTCCGAGTGAGAGAGTTCCCCCCTTCGATCGTTGCGATGAGCAGCTTCGCATTGTAGCCACGCCGTTTGAGACCCATTCAGGGCGATGGGGAAAGGCGACCATGGCTGTAGTGACGATGTCACAACGCGAGGTGGCACCGTGCAAACATTGCAAGGTCCACAGCCTACACACTTTGTTACATTGCACTTAATTGTGTAGGTGGGTATGTGGTTTACTTTTATTAAAAAAATTTTTACCTACGTGACTTTACCGAAAAAACCTAAGAATATGTGGTTGTTGTTATTGAACAGTATGCGGTGTCTTGGTTGCCTTGGCTCATTTGTTGAGTCGTGTCGACAGATCTTTAATTGTTCTTGAGGCTTTTGGCAGTGTCACAGCGATTGCGTAGTGTAGACTTCAGGGTCATGGGGGCAGCATTTGAGTGCTTTGTTTTGTTTGTAGATGCCTCCCGTTGGGTAGATAAGACAGTTTTGTCGCTTTCACGGGAAGGCCAATCACATGGCGAGGTTTTCCTTCACGAGAACACCATCCTTAGCCGAGGTCACGACCCGTCACCGCCGCACGTGGCGCTGAGCTCCTGGCCATCGACCCCCTCGTGTGCCGTGCCGGCCTTCATCGTTGCTCGCATTGTGTGTGTCTGTAATGTGCACAGGTAAGTACACGGCGCGTAGAAGATACGCTCGATGAGTGAGGATGATGTCAGGTTTTGTTGAGGCTCAAATATGTACCCAGTGAGATTAATCCGACGTAAAAATCAATGGCAGTTTCCTTTGGGGAATGCTCCTTCTGTTCATGGTAATTGTCACCAGATGTCATTTGATTCCCCAATGCTGATAGATACACACGCGTATGAGCACACACACCACACCAGGTACTAAGGTAAAGCTGAGTCGTCCTGGGGAAGGCTCAGAACCGGTTCACTCCATACACAGACACACTCCACACACAGACATACCCCACACACAGACACACTCCACATACACACACGCAGATACACAGACACACTCCACACACAGACACACTCCACACACACACACACTCCACACACACAGACACTCCACACACTCCACACACAGACACACTCCACACACTCCACACACACACACACTCCATACACAGACACACTCCACACACACACACTCCACACACACAGACACTCCACACACTCCACACACAGACACACTCCACACACACACTCCACACACACACTCCATACACAGACACACTTCACACACACACACTCCACACACACAGACACTCCACACACTCCACACACAGACACACTCCACACACACACTCCACACACACACTCCATACACAGACACGCTTCACACACACACACTCCACACACACTCCACACACAGACACACTCCACACACACCACACACACACTCCACACACACACATTCCACACACACACTCCACACACAGACACACTCCACACACAGACACACTCCACACACAGACACACTCCACGCACACACTCCACACACAGACACACACACAGACACACTCCACACACACACACACTCCACACACACACTCCACACACAGACACACACACAGACACACTCCACACACAGACACACACACAGACACACTCCACCCCCAAAGAGAAGCGTTATCCTCCAAAGAGAAGCGTCATACCCCAAAGAGAAGCGTTATCCTCCAAAGCCCCGCACTCATTCACCGAAGACTGAGCGAATACCGCGCGCGGCTTTGTGACTCCATCAGGTGGGTGTGGGGCCAAGGGAGTGGGGGGAGGGAGCGGTGGGACGAGAGGAACACCACGTGTCAAGGGAGATCAATGAGTGATGCGACACACTCGCGGAGAGACAGCGGAACGAGACACGATGTTGAGCGAACGGAGGGAGGGATGGAGGAGGGAGTAAGACCGACTTCATGAAAAATTCGCTTCCCATTGTATAGCGGGAAGAGGAGGAGGAGGGGTTATTTATTTTCGAAGGAGAGCTTCGATTAATTCTAAAGGTGGGCGGTCTGATCGGCACGTGCGATCAGCTTGTTGAGCATGTTGCCAAGGGTTCACGTGGAAGCCGCAGTTTGTGTTGACAACCGGGATCGGGACTTGACCCGCTTGGCATCGCATTGCCCGTGGTGTCACTTTCGACGGGAGACCAATTACTTCGCCAGAGTGTTGTGCTCAGCACGAGACGTAGCAGCTGTACACGCTCATCGAGTGAAAGCAAGCAACCTTCTAAGGCTGTCGTTGTCTTTATTGGGGGTGGGGGGTGATGGGGTGCTCATCGTTGACATGCTGTGTGTTTGGCGGATTGTTCTGCTTGCGAGCACAGACTTCCGCTAGATTTGCGGAGCATCTTCTTGGTTCTTTCGGTAAAGTCACGTAGAAGGGGAATAATAAAATAAAACATTATAAAATACAATTTTCACGACGTTTCGGCCACAACACAAGCAGCCGTCCTCAGGTGAAGAACAGGGCTGTCGGAAAGACGGCGTCCCAATGAACACCACCAAGCTTGGCAGCGTATATTTAAGCTGGGTTAGAGGAGGAGAGCGCCTTGACAAATGAGTTTACATATCAACAGAGGAATTTAGCATATTTATGGAAAATGCTGATATGGGATTAGTCACTACTTGTGGAATGTGTAGGTGGTGGGGGGGGGGGTCTCAAAGTCATATTATGCTCGTGTATTATGTAGGATTAGTAGTGATCACGAGAGGAAGTAGGATTAGCAGTAATAAAGGCAGGTAAATTTCAATAGTAAGGAGCTGCAGCAGCCAAACCCTTCTACGTGACTTTACCGAAAGAACCAAGCAGATGAATTCCTGCAGTCACAAAAGCTTTAAATCGAAATTTGCGGAGCATCGTTAAGAATTGTCAGACCGCCGCGGCCGTCTGTGGGCAATGAACGTCAGTCCCGTATTTCGTCATTTGTTTGCAACTGTTGTGGCTCTGGTGTACAGCACGCAAGGCAACATTGGGACCCACAGCATACACGCCCGTTCACCACGGGAGTCCAGTTCACGTAGAAGGGAAATAATAAAATAATACAAATAAAGCATAATTAAATATTCTCACAACGTTTCGGCAACAACGCAAGCAGCCGTCCTCAGGTGAAGAACAGGTCTGTTGGGAAGACAGCGTCTGAATGAAACACCCCAGGCTTGGAGCGTATATTTAAGCTGGAGTCCAGTTTACTACAGGAGTCTACTTTACCATACAATTCTAGATTTGAAGCTTTCGTGACTGCAAGGATTCATATTCTTAGGTTTTTTTCGGTAAAGTCACGTGACTTTACCGAAAAAACCTAAGAATATTTACCATACAAGTCCAGTTTACCATAAACATCCAGTTTACCATTGCTCGGTGTGGTTGAGTGTGGTTGAGCGTACCTGTGTGTGTGTGTGGTTACGTCCGGTCGGCTATTCGCGTGGCTGACTCTACTCACTTTAACAACAACAACAGCAGCAGCAGCAGCTGTACAACAAACAAACCGGAGCAAAACTTGACGCCACTCTGATCCGGCGCGTGGCCTCGATCCGCCGGCTCGCCGTGATCCAGGCCGCGTTTGTGTTGCTCTTGATGCAGGACGATCACCAGGAGTCGGCCAGCTCCCGCAAGCCCGAGGCCGTCTTCTCGGCTCGCCATGCCGCCGTCACCTTCCAGGTGGCCGAGGGAGAGTCGTGGAGGGAGCGCAAGGAACGAAGGGCGGCGCTCATGGTCGGACTTCTCATCGGCGTCTTTGCGCTCTGCTGGATTCCGTTCTTCGCCGCCGAGTTGGTGAGGGCAGCTGCTACGCCGAGACTTTAAGAGCGGTGCTCTTCATTGCAAGGCCCGCGGCCCCAGGTGGCCTTTAGTACAACCCCTGACGTGCGGTCCCCGACAATACACAAAGAGTGAAAAGACCCTTTGGAGGCGGTGTGGTAGCCCCTCACACTGATGATGTCTTATCGACGAAAGATGCCCCCCCCCCCTCTCTGAAAGTCAGTGAAGAACACTGCTTTAGAGGATGGCGGTCATCATCACCAGCAGCAGCAGCAACAACAGCAACAGCAGTAGCAGCTACAGAAACAACTGCAGCCACATTCGCACAAGCATCGTCATCAGCAGCATCATCATCAACATGTTGATGCTTTTTTCACAAATTTGAAAGCGCCGATTGCTTCTGGCCGTGTTATGCCAGTGCTCAGCATTCACATTAAAATAATCATATTTATTTAATATCAGCCGCAGCTGCAAAAATAAATTACAGCGGAAATAAGAGAAACAGTTTCAGCAGCAGTATAATCATTAGAGACAGCAGTAACAAAAGCAGTAGCATCATCATCAGCAGCAGCGTAATACATATTCAGCAGCAGCAACAGCAGTATCAACACAAGGGACCGTATCAGTAGCAGCAACAAGGTTGTCACGCAATTTACTACGAAAGGCGTCCAAATCAAGCAGCAGCATGATCTCAAGTAGTTGTTCACGTCGCCCAGTTCGGGGCTCTGGTGGACGGGGCTGCACAGCCCCGTCCGCACTGGGGCTCTGCGGTGACCTCTGCTGTTCTCAGGGTCGCGTGCTCTCTGGCAAGGTCATGGTTGAGGAGGTCATGCATGCGTGACCTATCTCATAAATGAATATATATTTCATCAGTTAAGTTAAAGGATTCATCTTCTTGGTTATTTCGGTAAAGTCACGTAGAAGGGAAGTAATAAAATAATAAAAATAAAACATAATAAAATAATTCTCACAAGAGAGAATTATTTTATTATGTTTTAATTCTCACAAGAGATAATTCTTTTATTATGTTTTATTTTTATTATTTTATTACTTCCCTTCTACGTGACTTTACCGAAAGAACCAAGAAGATGAATCCCTGCAGTCACGAAAGCTTTAAATCGAAATTGAAGTTAAAGGAGTTACCGAGAAAGTAACTGCTTGGTGTTATGGTGAGAGACAGAAATACGAACACGTGGATAATTATTCACCATACACGGGTTCATGACCTCTTCCAAACTGCTTGGAAAAGTAAAGATGCGGTGATGGCTGAATAATAATGACATCGTGGCAGGCAATGAACGGTCCGCGTTGGAGAGAACGTCGAATGAGGAGCAGGAGCTATGGAACTAGCCGGTGTGCAGGTGCTAGGATCTTGAGAAGTGGCAGTGGCTTGGGGAGAGGCATTCGTCCAGCAGTGGATTGACTATGGATGATGATGATGATATTGGTGAAGAAAATCATCAAAAGTCATTGGACAATAATTAATAGTTCACAAGATATTGCTGAGTAGGAATGCATATGGGGCGTTACGTGTTGGACATCGCTCATATAATGTATTCGCTAAAGCCCCTCTTGAGTACGTAGATTTTAATTTGATCCATCCTGTTTTAGATATTCTCCCAGTCCAACGTAAGTCTTGTGTGAGATGTCCCCTTACTGGAGATAATGCAAATTCAAGTTTCTTCACCTTGTTAAACACAGGACATTAATTTAAAGTGATATTTAGGGAAAACAGGAGTGACAGTTCAGGCAATTGTCTTTTCGTCGAAGCCAATTCCTTGTCTGCAACAATAAATCTCTCTTGCCCAAGAGTGATGCCGTGAAAAAAAAATTGCCTCGGTGCTATTTTTCTTAATATACGTATTGACATTTCAAACGACATATTACATCGATATTCACATTTTGTAATCCACACGTCTGTTGCCAGAACGTTATGCAGGACGAAAATTTTATAAAAACGATGTCAGGAAGTCGAATGAAAATGCAAACATTTGTTTTACAGACGTTTGTCGAATGTTGATCAATCTGCCCAGATGGGGGTGCAGATTCAGGCAAATCTGTGCGGCAATGTCAGAGAGGGTCTTGATTCAGTTACTGCGGTATTATTAATTTAGTCAGTGTGTCTTTTAAAATTCTATTAGGCTTAGTCTCGCCAAAAAAAACACTTCAGAAATTTTAGCCAGGGGGTTACAGTCTGTGCATTTTATTTGGTTACTTTTTGCCAGCTCAACCACAGCAGATTTCCTCGACTTTCCAGGCAGGCTTGCACGGATGGGTATTGACTTGAAGCACCTCAAGTGAATAGTTTGGAAGTTTGTGAAGTCCGTTCCGTAATTGGGAAAGGGCTCACAAGCACGTCTCATTACGTTTAACCAATCAAGAGACGACACTCACTGCGCTATTGGTTCTGATGTGTGTGAACCAGGGGTTAATTTCTCACGGAATATGTTGCCGAGTCACTGGCAGACCGGGAGGTGTGGCACGTGACGGGAATTGAAGCCCCCAGCGGGTGAAAAAAGAGAGAGAGAATTTGCACAGAGTTGAATCTTTCACCCATTCGTTATCCGGGTTTTCTCCAATGTAGCCTCGGTTGATACGGCCTTCCACCATCAGTAGATTATTGTCAGCATTTATCTTCACCTGCTCTTTTTATTTAAATGCAAATGGCAGCGAGTCTGTTTAAAAAATGAGCTGAAATTTACCAAACCCTTATAATACAGTACTCAGCTTAAATGTGTCTCCCTCTGGATATAAACCTCACAAGACAGTACTTTTTACGATGGCTATAGTTATCCGTCTGCTGATGATCATGATGAACCTGCTGTTGATACCCATTGCAGTAATTGCTGCTGCTACTACTGCGGTTGATGATAACTCCGTTGCTGTGGACGGTGGTAACATTGCTTCAGTGATGATATCTTTGCTGCTGCTGCTACTACTGATGATTCCACAGTTGCCGCTGACTATGATTCTGCATCTATTATCTTTGCTGATACTGCTGATGATTCCACAGTTGCCGCTGACTATGATTGTGCATCTGTTATCTCTGCTGCTGATACTGCTGATGATTCCGCAGTTGCCGCTGACTATGATTGTGTATCTGTTATCTCTGCTGTTGCTGATGATGATTCCGCAGTTGCCGCTGACCATGAATGTGCATCTGTTATCTCTGCTGCTGATACTGATGATGATTCCACAGTTGCCGCTGACTATGATTGTGCATCTGTTATCTCTGCTGCTGATACTGCTGATGATTCCGCAGTTGCCGCTGACTATGATTGTGCATCTGTTATCTCTGCTGCTGCTGATGATGATGATTCCGCAGTTGCCGCTGACCATGAATGTGCATCTGTTATCTCTGCTGCTGATACTGATGATGATTCCGCAGTTGCCGCTGACCATGAATGTGCATCTGTTATCTCTGCTGCTGATACTGATGATGATTCCACAGTTGCCGCTGACTACGATTCTGCATTTGTTATCTCTGCTGCTGCTACTGATGATGATTCCGCAGTTGCCGCTGACTATGATTCTGCATCTGTTATCTCTGCTGCTGCTGATGATTCCGCAATTGCCGCTGATCATGATTCTGCATCTGTTATCTCTGCTGCTGCTACTGTTGATGATTCCACAGTTGCCGCTGACTACGATTCTGCATCTGTTATCTCTGCTGCTGCTACTGCTGCAGTTGCTGCTGCTGACGACGACAATAATGATGGTACATCTGCCGCTGCTGACGCAGATGCGGCTGCTGCTGATAGTTGTGACCCTGCTGTTGATCATTTATCCTACGCTACTGCTGCTGCTTGTTCGTGACGATGCGGTGATACTGACTCTGCTGCTACTTCTGACGATAACCATTCGTCGGCCGCTGTTGCTGCTGCTGCTACTGCTTGCTGTTGATGTGGCGGTTGCCGCTGCTGCTGCTGATGATGATGCTACGACGATGATGACGACGTCTCTTTCTGCGCAGGTGAGTCCTCTGTGCGGACCAGCGTGTGACGTGTCGCTGGAGTGGAAGAGCGTGTTCCTTTGGCTCGGCTACTCCAACTCGTTCTTCAATCCGCTCATCTACACCGCCTTCAACCGCAACTACAACAGCGCCTTCCGCAGCCTGTGCGCCTGCAGCCAGCGGTGACGCCTCCGTTCGCCGAGGCGACAAACAAGCCGGCACCGAACCAAAACGCCTCGGTCTTAGCCAGGATAAGTCCCCGGGGGGTGGCGGGGCTGGCTTCTCCCGTTCATTCTCACCGCCACCGAGGTGTTCGCGTTATTTAGAGGCAATCGTGTCCCGGTTTTAAAAATAAAATGTAAGATCTGGCCTCTGGCGAGACTGCGGCAGGGGAGATTTGAACGGCCGCGGTGAGATGTGATGTGATCCGCAGCTTTTCTTTGGGTTGCCGAGGGATTTGGTCGAGCGCCATGGAACGTCCAGCACTTGCAAATTGTGTCACTGTTGTTGTGCGTGCTCCACTGGCGATGCGGACAAGAGGGGCGTGACCTTAGTAGTGGGAGGGGCGACCTTGGTAGTGGAACCTTAAGTAGTGGGAGGGGCGACCTTGGTGGTGGGCGGAGCTACCTTAGTAGTGGGAGGGGCTACCTTGGTAGTGGAACCTTAAGTAGTGGGAGGGGCGACCTTGGTGGTGGGCGGAGCTACCTTAGTAGTGGGAGGGGCGACCTTGGTAGTGGGCGGAGCTACCTTAAGTAGTGGGAGGGGCTACCTTGGTAGTGGGCGGAGCTACCTTAAGTAGTGGAAGGGGCTACCTTGATCGTGGGCGGAGCTACCTTAAGTAGTGGCAGGGGCTACCTTGGTGGTGTGCGGAGCTACCTTAAGTAGTGGCAGGGGCTACCTTGGTAGTGTGCGGAGCTACCTTAAGTAGTGGCAGGGGCTACCTTGGTAGTGTGCGGAGCTACCTTAAGTAGTGGGAGGGGCTACCTTGGTAGTGTGCGGAGCTACCTTAAGTAGTGGGAGGGGCTACCTTGGTAGTGTGCGGAGCTACCTTAAGTAGTGGGAGGGGCTACCTTGGTGGTGTGCGGAGCTACCCTAAGTAGTGGGAGGGGCTACCTTGGTAGTGTGCGGAGCTACCTTAAGTAGTGGGAGGGGCTACCTTGGTAGTGTGCGGAGCTACCTTAAGTAGTGGGAGGGGCTACCTTGGTAGTGTGCGGAGCTACCTTAAGTAGTGGCAGGGGCTACCTTGGTAGTGTGCGGAGCTACCTTAAGTAGTGGGAGGGGCTACCTTGGTAGTGTGCGGAGCTACCTTAAGTAGTGGGAGGGGCTACCTTGGTAGTGTGCGGAGCTACCTTAAGTAGTGGCAGGGGCTACCTTGGTGGTGTGCGGAGCTACCTTAAGTAGTGGCAGGGGCTACCTTGGTAGTGGGCGGAGCTACCTTAAGTAGTGGGAGGGGCTACCTTGGTAGTGGGCGGAGCTACCTTAAGTAGTGGGAGGGGCTACCTTGGTAGTGGGCGGAGCTACCTTAAGTAGTGGGAGGGGCTACCTTGGTAGTGGGCGGAGCTACCTTAAGTAGTGGGAGGGGCTACCTTGGTAGTGGGCGGAGCTACCTTAAGTAGTGGGAGGGGCTACCTTGGTAGTGGGCGGAGCTACCTTAAGTAGTGGGAGGGGCTACCTTGGTAGTGGGCGGAACTACCTTAAGTAGTGGGAGGGGCTAGCTTGGTGGTGTGCAGAGCTACCTTAAGTAGTGGGAGGGGCTACCTTGGTAGTGGGCGGAGCTACCTTAAGTAGTGGGAGGGGCTAGCTTGGTGGTGTGCGGAGCTACCTTAAGTAGTGGGAGGGGCTACCTTGGTAGTGGGCGGAGCTACCTTAAGTAGTGGGAGGGGCTACCTTGGTAGTGGGCGGAGCGACCTTAAGTAGTGGGAGGGGCTACCTTGGTAGTGGGCGGGGCAACCTTAAGTAGTGGGAGGGGCTACCTTGGTAGTGGGCGGAGCTACCTTAAATAGTGGGAGGGGCTACCTTGGTAGTGGGCGGAGCGACCTTAAGTAGTGGGAGGGGCTACCTTGGTAGTGGGCGGGGCAACCTTAAGTAGTGGGAGGGGCTACCTTGGTAGTGGGCGGAGCTACCTTAAGTAGTGGCAGGGGCTACCTTGGTAGTGGGCGGAGCTACCTTAAGTAGTGGCAGGGGCTATCTTGGTAGTGGGCGGAGCTACCTTAAGTAGTGGCAGGGGCTACCTTGGTAGTGTGCGGAGCTACCTTAAGTAGTGGGAGGGGCTACCTTGGTAGTGGGCGGAACTACCTTAAGTAGTGGGAGGGGCTAGCTTGGTGGTGTGCAGAGCTACCTTAAGTAGTGGGAGGGGCTACCTTGGTAGTGGGCGGAGCTACCTTAAGTAGTGGGAGGGGCTAGCTTGGTGGTGTGCGGAGCTACCTTAAGTAGTGGGAGGGGCTACCTTGGTAGTGGGCGGAGCGACCTTAAGTAGTGGGAGGGGCTACCTTGGTAGTGGGCGGGGCAACCTTAAGTAGTGGGAGGGGCTACCTTGGTAGTGGGCGGAGCTACCTTAAATAGTGGGAGGGGCTACCTTGGTAGTGGGCGGAGCGACCTTAAGTAGTGGGAGGGGCTACCTTGGTAGTGGGCGGGGCAACCTTAAGTAGTGGGAGGGGCTACCTTGGTAGTGGGCGGAGCGACCTTAAGTAGTGGGAGGGGCTACCTTGGTAGTGGGCGGAGCTACCTTAAGTAGTGGCAGGGGCTACCTTGGTAGTGGGCGGAGCTACCCTAAGTAGTGGCAGGGGCTATCTTGGTAGTGGGCGGAGCTACCTTAAGTAGTGGCAGGGGCTACCTTGGTAGTGTGCGGAGCTACCTTAAGTAGTGGCAGGGGCTACCTTGGTAGTGTGCGGAGCTACCTTAAGTAGTGGCAGGGGCTACCTTGGTAGTGTGCGGAGCTACCTTAAGTAGTGGCAGGGGCTACCTCGGTAGTGTGCGGAGCTACCTTAAGTAGTGGCAGGGGCTACCTTGGTAGTGTGCGGAGCTACCTTAAGTAGTGGCAGGGGCTACCTTGGTAGTGTGCGGAGCTACCTTAAGTAGTGGCAAGGGCTAGCTTGGTAGTGTGCGGGGCAACCTTAAGTAGTGGCAGGGGCTACCTTGATCGTGGGCGGAGCTACCTTAAGTAGTGGCAGGGGCTACCTTGGTAGTGTGCGGGGCAACCTTAAGTAGTGGCAGGGGCTAGCTTGATCGTGTGCGGGGCAACCTTAAGTAGTGGCAGGGGCTAGCTTGATCGTGTTGCGGGGCAACCTTAAGTAGTGGCAGGGGCTACCTTGGTAGTGTGCGGAGCTACCTTAAGTAGTGGCAGGGGCTACCTTGGTGGTGTGCGGAGCTACCTTAAGTAGTGGGAGGGGCGACCTTGGTGGTATGCGGAGCTACCTTAAGTAGTGGGAGGGGCTAGCTTGATCGTGGGCGGGGCAACCTTAAGTAGTGGCAGGGGCTAGCTTGATCGTGGGCGGAGCTACCTTAAGTAGTGGCAGGGGCTAGCTTGATCGTGGGCGGAGCTACCTTAAGTAGTGGCAGGGGCTACCTTGGTAGTGTGCGGAGCTACCTTAATTAGTGGCAGGGGCTACCTTGGTAGTGGGCGGAGCTACCTTAAGTAGTGGCAGGGGCTACCTTGGTAGTGGGCGGAGCTACCTTAAGTAGTGGGAGGGGCTAGCTTGATCGTGGGCGGGGCAACCTTAAGTAGTGGGAGGGGCTAGCTTGATCGTGGGCGGGGCTACCTTAAGTAGTGGGAGGGGCTAGCTTGGTAGTGGGCGGAGCTACCTTAAGTAGTGGGAGGGACTAGCTTGATCGTGGGCGGGGCTTCCAGAGGAGGAGGCGGGGCCTACAAGTCATGGGTGGGCCACACGTCCAGTGTGGAGGGGGGAGATAGTAGTTTAGTAGGCGTGTCTATGTAGAAGTGGGCCGGGCTTTCCGCATCACCGCGTGTCCAAGGTTGAGCCTCCCAGACATGGCGTCGCTTCACCGACCCAACTCGCCAAACGCGGACGTGTCGAATGGCCACGTCAGCCACCACCGCGGGCGGCTTGAGAAGGAAGCCACTTGCACTGACTAAAGAATCGGACAGCAGTGTATTGATTGTTGTTGTATGCGTGGGCTTAACGCCGATTGCTGGATGCTTTGGAGCGATCAGGCGTGGTGGTCGCGGTGATGGTGGCACGCGCAATGTGATTCAGTGCTCTGGAGGCGAGTATTGGTGGATCGCCAAGCGGTTATCAAAAAAAATAGTTGGCTGCGAGGTGGTGACCACGAGATGGATGTGCAGTGATGAGCTCTTGAAGCCATCTGTGCGGAGTTTTGAATGTTGTCCCCTCGCTTGCGTGGCGGACTTTTTTGTTGTTGTTGTTGTTTTTCCCCAGTTCCTCTGGTTTCCTCCCACGTGTGAAATTTCTCCTTTGTAAAAAAGGAATCGGCCAAACTTCCCAAACCGAGCCCCGTTGGACGACAGCGGACAGACACTCGCGACGGCTTTAACGAATAATCAACATGGACACACACGTGGCTGGATGGCGTGGCTGGCTGTAGCCTACGGAGTTTTCTCGTTTCTAAATAGAGGTGGCAGTACAGCAAGTGGGATCGTGACCTCCCCCACCCCCCCATGTATGTGAGAACCGTGCATTGTATGTGTGTTAGGGGGGAGGGATTGGGTGCAGGCCAGCTCTCGGCGTCTGCTGATTTCCTTATATTTGCAAAACACACGTGAGTGGAATCGGCCCAAACATTACGGTGCATCGACCCGGCTGAAAAAAGCGTTGAGACACACTCGGTGATGCTTCTGGGACACACAATACGATTAGCCGCATGACAATGCGATTGGGGGAGCAGGGTGATCGCAAGGAGAGACCGTCCGTTGTACGATTTGACCTCAACGCTGTGTAATTGGAGCCGCGTCTAAGGAGAGCGATCGATGTGAATGTTTGACTATTGGGTGAAGATGAGGTGATAGGTGAGTGTCAGGTGAGTGTCAGGTGATAGGTGAGGGTCAGGTGATAGGTGAGTGTCAGGTGAGTGTCAGGTGATAGGTGAGGGTCAGGTGATAGGTGAGAGTCAGGTGATAGATGAGGGTCAGGTCATAGGTGAGTGGCAGGTGAGGGTCAGTTGATAGGTGAGGGTCAGTTGATAGGTGAGGGTCAGGTGATAGGTGAGGGTCAGTTGATAGATGAGGGTCAGGTCATAGGTGAGTGGCAGGTGAGGGTCAGTTGATAGGTGAGGGTCAGTTGATAGGTGAGGGTCAGGTGATAGGTGAGGGTCAGTTGATAGGTGAGGGTCAGGTGAGGGTCAGGTGATAGGTGAGGGTCAGGTGAGGGTCAGGTGAGGGTCAGCTGAGAGGTGAGTGTCAGGTGAGGGCCAGCTGAGAGGTGAGTGTCAGGTGAGGGCCAGCTGAGAGGTGAGTGTCAGGTGAGCGTCACGTGATTCATTCAAGTAAAGAGACCTCCGTGTGCCAGGCGTTGTGACGTCGTGATGAAGAAGGGCTCTCCCTCTGCCACGCGGTGCCATCGTTCAACAGTCACGTGGCGC